ATTCGGCCTTGGTCAGCTGCCTCCTCAATTTTTCTTCAAGAATATACTGAAGCCAAGAGAAGGTATCAGTGAAATAATGAAAGACTCCAGAGTCTTTCAACTAGGATCAGATCTTTCTTCCTTTTGCTTGCATGACTGGACAAGAGTCACCTTCTCTTCCAACCTGTTTAATTCCTGGTGGCAAGAATGGCACTCCCATCTCTTCTGTGGGTCAGTCCATCCTATATGCATAGCTCTAGATGAAGATTTTATTTCTGACATGGAGGTAACTTCTCATTCCTTTTTAGAAAAAAATATTCGATAAATTCCCCAGCCAATTGTTCTAACAAACTTTTTTCACGACACCGAATTTGATCCCCCAAGCACGGACAGGAAGGGGCATCCTATAGACAACTATCCACCATGTCCAGCCTCAAGAATGGGATCAACCGCACCCATATTGAAGAAACTAATGACAACCCAGTCTGCCTGTACAATTGCAACATACCAATCTTCAAAACGCAAGGCAACCCAAGGGATAACCCAGAAAACCATTACTGGGAAAAAACTTCGCAGAATGAGGCCATCAACTGCTTAGGTAAAACAATTCATCCTCTTCCCAAAATGATATTCAATTTCTAATTCCGATTCTTTCCCCATAGTTATCAACCATTGCATCCTAATCTGCTCTGGCGCTGAACTGTTGTCCCAGGTGTTTAAATCAGCACTATCCAAACCTTCATCGGTCGATTCTCAAAAGGAGCTAATTTCGGTTGAAACAACCAATGCTTCTAAGACAGCAGAAGATGAGAATCCTTCCACTTCACCCTCTGATGCTGCCAAGGTATCTCTTCAAAATTCTTGATTTTTCATTCAATTTTCATTTATCCCTGACTATCTCACCTCATTAGATGCTACCTAAGGAAATATCTGCGTAAGAACAGAACATCAACAGTCCATCAGTAGAAGGCGACCCTATTGACGTTGATACCTGCACCGTTAATTTTCCAGTTCAGCAAACAATTGATGGTAAGAAAATCATATATCCATTTATCCTTCTATAACAAACATGAATTGAAAAATCTTCCTTGATGTTTGCAGATACCAATGTTGAAAATCTAGAGCCGATTCAACCAGATGTCATTGGTGCATCATCAGTTGTTCCTTTTCCTCAGATAGAAACTACCCCAGAAAAGGTACCGTATCTCCTCATTCTTATTTTCAAATAACTTGTTATTTCTTAACAAAATTTTTTCCTTACCCACCTGCAGGAACTTAACTCACCAGCTCTAAGCTACTCTTTCAATTTTGAAGAGTATATAGATGAAGATGAAATCAGCTCATCAGCAATCTTTTCCAAAGAAGTTCTGTCAGAAGAGATAAAGAATCGGCTAAAAGACATGCTGCCAATGCTTGAAAGGAATATAGTCGATTTGGTCTAGGATGCAGATCCGATCAGAAGAACTTTCCTAGCCATTAAGGGTAACTTGCCTTCAAATCTTGCTGAAGTTCTGATACCTTTATCCAACATTGAGGATCAAGCTCCAAGAGTGAAAAGGGCTCAGAGAAACCTAGCTGATTGCATAGCTTTATTGGCCAAGAAAAACTCCAATAGACAAGAGGCCAAAGAGCTGGCACAACTAATTGATAATTTAAAGAACTCTTCCCACATGATCGAACCAGAGCTGAACCAACTAAAAGCCAAGCATGCAGAACTTAAGAAGGAACTAAAGAACGTGAAGGCTGCTATCGATCCCCATGAGTCCAATCTGGCTCAAATATCCAATGCCATTAAACAGAAGAAACAAGATATGCTGACCACGGTCAAAGAAGGTAAAGCCATCCGCAACAACCTTGAGAATATTCCTAGATCAGCTAAAGAAGACAAGCAACAAATTGGAGAAGTTGATGTTATTCAGCTGAAAGCATTGAAAGCAATTCAGGATGTTCTAAACTTGTAATCTGCATACCGACGTTTGTAATATATATTTTGTGTGGAAACAATGACAACCATATTTTTTGCTGATTGTTTTATGATAACAAGTACGATGCACCCAGATATAAGAGACATCATCAGCTAGGTGGATATAACCAGTGTAAAGCATTGAGCTGATGAATTTAACTAGAAAGGATATAATATGTTAACAAATCGACTGTTTAGTACAAATAAATCTACAAACGCTCTGAATCTAATATGTTACCAACAAAGTGAGGTTCGACCGAATTGATACAGCTATGATAATGATAACAAACTAAAGACAAAGAATCCATAAAACCGTCTATACATTGACAGGCTCATAGAAAAACGTGCTATATGTATGAAGGCACAGGCAAATCGGCTGAAATAGCCGATGCAGGCATAGCAAACAAACAAAGTACATATCCCGATTATGAACAAAAACACTAATCGATAATCCCTAATCTAAAGCCTTACCAGTGAGGTTCGACCGGATCGATGCAGCTATGGTAGTGTCATTAGGTTAGATGTCATTAACTAGTGAGTTTATCCAAGATTGAAACATGTCTCTAGATGCATACTATGCTTGATTGGAATAGAGATAAAACAGTCGATCTAGCAGAATTAAGCCGTCAATCATGAGATGTGAAGCATGATCAGACTAGAAGCCGACCAATTAAGATGATATGATATCGATCTATCTCTTTCTCAATTAGGTGATTTGTTATAATTAATAAAACATTAATTATAACAAGATCGATAACTAGTGAATCAGCCTAAAACAGTAAGGAAAATCTTACTAATCTCAGCAGATTCGATAACTAGTGATATTGTATTAAACAACAAGTTATTTAACACAAGATCGATAACTTTGATCTATATTATGATTCATAAGAGATCAATCAGCTGATGCAGCCTTACAAATAATGATACAGATCAATAACTAACTTATATTATACTCGTAAAAGATCAATCGGCTGATGCAGCTTTACGAGTACGATACAAGTCGTGATGGTACTCACAGACAAGCCGGAGGTCGACCGGATCGATGCAGCCCTTCTCGTTGAAGAACTCATTGATATCTACAGTACTCCTACTCCTAAGGGTTGGCGTGAAGCCGAAAAAAGTGATTGTATTGATTGATTCCTCTTTTTACAATAGCCGGGGTCCAATATTTATACCCGGAACCTAAACATGAATCATACTCAAATACGACTCATTACAATTCTGGGAATAAAAGAAAACATTCTTAACTTAAGATAACTTGGACCCTAATCTTTTCCTTTTTGTAGAGTCTGACATATTCTCCCCGACGCCATCCGTACGTAGTTCATTGACATTGTCTGCTGACGTCATCTATAAAATAGCTGATTCCGACACTGCGTCAAAACCAGCCGATACCGATTCACATCTGATCGATTCCTTATACAATCTTAGAAGCTTCAAGTTCCCGTGTTCTTCTTTATAAATTTTGGTGTAAACTGTAAACACATATATTGATGTGGTTTACTTATAGTAGTGGTATAGAGTAGTTAGATGGTATCTCCATCTCTATTGCCATTATGAATGATTTTTTTTTTTTGAAACTGCCATTACGAATGATTTTGCTAGTGCTTGTTATTGCCTCCCGCTGAAATGATCGTCAACACACATAGTTCCAAATGAACCTGCAAGGATTGGACAAACTATCGAATCTCAAGATCTTTGGTTTATAATTGGGTGGCCACGGGTTTTCCTGGAGCTCATGAGATAAGGGTAATGCCCTATCGGGGTTCCTTTTGGATTTCTCGCCACGAAGGTGCTGGGGTTTGGCGGAACAACCTTCAAAATCATCACCTCTCAGGTCATTGTTTCTTGCTCTCTCGAGGTCGAAGACTTCTTTGTTCAGTTTGTTCTACAACTCTTCAGTTCTTCATCTCTTTGTTTTGCAGCTCTTTGTTCAGCTTTATTTATTTCTTGCTTGTACGCTTCTAATTCACCAAACATTGGTTTTCGTTGACAGCTCGCACGTGTCTTTGTTCTCGAGGTCCTCATCTTCATCTTCGAATGCATCGTCATTAAGGTGCCCTTCGGCTAAAGCCCTTGTTGGGGCGATTTAATTGTTGACATCTGTGTTGCGTAGATCTTCGGGGTTGGGTGGGATGGGTTGAGTTTTCTTCAATCTCTCTGTGATCTCCATTATCATCTTACTCTTTAATTCGGGGGCTATTCGAAAGTTCGAGCAACAAGCACGGGTGGACGCCAAATGTTGGTCCTTGGATGATTGGTGGTCGAACTGGTAAGCGAAAGTGGAATAGTGAAGTGGTTGATGACAGAATGAAATACTATGTATCCTTTATATTCATGGTAGGAAAATGGAATACTATCAGCCTGTTCGGGAGGCCGTATCGTATCGTGGATTATTTACTGCTGGCTGGTTTGGTGTGAGAGAAAAACACTATTCCCAGCTGGAAATTTACGATCGTTTACGAACAGGCTGTATGTATCCCAATATGGGCACGGGCATTCTAGTCCTTCTATCATACAGAAATTCAATCCGACGGTTTCTTTCACACCAGTGATTTCGTGTGCACAGAACACCTTGAGGGATAGGCTCACGCCCTATGTAAGGCCTTAGGTCTTCGGGTTTTATGAGGATGATTTCACTGGATCCTTGGGTTACCCAGTGAACCTCCACCTTTCGAGCTCTCCAAATGACTTCGCGTGACGACACAGACACACGCTAACACCTGCGAAACCAAGCTTCTTGCAAACATCACTGGTTAGGACGGCGAAATGCCGTAGTAGGAGGGTCCCCAGAAGGGTACCGGCTACCAATAAGTTTGATGTATATTTGAAGATTGTTGTATTATGGATGTGATATAAATCAGTTACTAGACATCGGTACTGACTAGGCTTGGATGAACAACAACTACTACACCATCAGCTATTCTTCCACCAAATGGAAGGTTTAGTCCTCCAACAGCCTCCTCGAATATATAGTCATCGTGGATAAGTTACCTTCGACGAAACGAAGTATGCGTGCACAACATTGAGTGATGTTTAGAAAGCATTTTCCTAGTGCTTACACGCATTTTTCAATGTCCTGACTCATGTTTGTCTCAACAACATTACGGGACTTACGCTGGGTGATCTCCGATGATGGTTTGATGCCCGTCGCCAAGTTATCACAGTGCTCCGTCTCCTCCCAGTGCCTCCTGTCAGAATCACGATGATCTGACTCCACAAAATCGTCATCATCATCGGCATTGTCTGAGAGCAGTAGCTGCTCTCCTTCCGGTGGCCAAACGAAAGCGGGCTTCACTAGCGGCACTGCCGGCGGCGGCATCGACTTGGCGATGACCTGCACCACCTGATCCATGCTCGGTCGGTCTGACGGGTTGGGGTTGCTGCACGCCAAACCCAGGAGCAGCAACCGGGTGGCGTCCTCATTGTCGTCAGAGCTGAAACCTCCCATGGTGGTGAGCTCATCCTCTACGGCTTCCAACAGCCTTCCCTCGCCATGAAGCCACCAGACCCAGTCCATGAGCAGCGGGAACGTGGAATCCGCAGCACCGAGCGACCTCTTGCCGGTGACGACCTCGAGAACGAGCACCCCAAACGCGTAGACGTCGGTCTGGCGCGTGGCCTTGTGGCTGACGGCGTACTCCGGCGCGATGAAGCCCCAGGTGCCGGCGACGCCCATGTCGGTGAAGGAGGTCTTGTCGAAGGCCACGACGCGGGCGAGGCCGAAGTCGCCAAGGCGGCCGCGGAAGTCTGCGTCGAGCATGATGTTGCTGGCCTTGATGTCGCGGTGGAGCACGGCGCGCTCGTACTCATGGTGGACGTAGTGGAGGCCGGCGGCGATGTCCTTGATGACATCGTAGCGTGTCTGCCACTGGAGAATTGGAAGCTGCTGGTGGCGTTTCTCACCGAAGAGATGTTGGTCCAGGCTGCCATTGGGCATGTACTGGTAGATGAGAAGGAGCTCTCCATTCTCGTAACACCAACCTGAAACATATATTTGTATTTCACCACATTTAGCAAACTTTTTTCTTGAGACAAATCTTTGAGGGATAAACTACACTTGTCCCTAAACTAAGGTATCATGTTCTAATCTAGGTCCCTAAACTATGAAATTGAATATTTAGGTCCTTATAGTATTTAAGTACCTCAATCTTGGTCCAAAACGCAAACAGACACGACATAGCCCATTTGCTAACGTGGTGCTCCGACGTGAAACTAATATATGAGCCTATTACAACTCATAATTAGACAAGTGATCTCTAAACTATCATTCGATTCACATCTAGATCTCCAAATTACACAGTTGGGACCCTAATGATCTAATGAAGTACTACAATCCGATCCAAATTATCAACTTGGCCCTCCGAGAAGGACATGTCCACAATGCTACCACAATGCTCGACTTACCGCTATGTTGCAACTACGAGGAGCTCAGTACCACGTCCAAGTACATCAAGGGTTTTTTTGAGAGATCACCGGGAGGACGAACTGTCCAGACCTAAAATTCATTACCACAGATTTCGCCAAAAGCCGGTAATGGTAGTTACAATTTGGATCATGAGCCTAGAGTTACAAAGCAAGAAAGGCGAGAAAGAGAGCACAAACAAAAGAACAACAATCACTTACAACCACGGGGAGAAACAAAAAGGTACAACTCCTAGGCAAAGGGAAGTCGATGATCGACGAACATTTTGCACCGCCAATAGACAGAACTCCAATTATCTCCTTTTCCACGAGCGAACGTAAGGCATTGAGTCAAAATAACATACGACAATCGTGATGTACATCTTCTGTGGAGTTCATCTGGGATCCAATTGCCTTCCACCTACGGCCCTAAAGGGGAGGAAGCCTTAAGGGTTGGATGGCAGATGATTGGAGAACGAGGAGATCCAAGAGAGGGGATCATGGTCCAGCTAACCCGACATATGGTGAGAAGATGTAATCAAGGAACCTAATGAACATTATAGCAAATATATTGGCAGCAAACACCATCTAGCAAACAGCTTCTGCCCCCATATATGAAGTGCAAGCAAATCGGTCACCTTGCAGAAGAGTTCTGATGATTAAGTCTGAGACGGCGTACACCACGATGATGCCTACAAGTAGGATGCGACATCGAGTATACCACTGCCTTCGGCCTCAGAGATCTAGACCTAGGTTTTCAATAGGAGATATTATAAAGTAACATGGGTGGGGGGCTACAACGAGGCCTCCAAGGAGGTTAGCGGCGCCCAAGGGTGTCGCCGTCGATAGCAAGGCTCCTGAACCCATGAACTATAGATCGCCTTCTCAGAAAAAGGATGGCGGATCCATTGCATGACGGCACGCCCACACCCCCAACACCTTGAGCCCTTGATAGCACGCACATGGCAGTGGGCGACACCACCGCTGGAAGCGCCATGGTGATGCTGTGGGATCTCATGGGCACCAAATCAGCCCCAGGTTGTATCACGCTCGATATGCTGCTGCTGCGCTGGCATGGCTCAGGCACGTCACACCAGTAGCAAGCCGCTTCTGCCAACACGGAAGGCAAATCTTGAACCAGCTAGGAGCCTCCCGACTGCAGCACAATGCCCTGCCGCCCGAACACGCACGGGGTGCGTCCCAGCCAAGGAGAACGGAGTGCTCGCCGAGCTCAGCCACCAAACGCCAGGGGAGTTCAGACTGGCCTTTATTCCGCCACCATGGCCTGCAACTGGTCAGATCTGGCCATAGGGAGACCCAATTCGCCCAACCCCGCCACCAAGAGCGGCCGCAAGGAGAGGGATGAGGAAAGGGCGCCGGGCTAGGGGAAGACAACAGTAGCCTCTGCACCTGCACGAGATCCTAGTGTGCCATTGATGTCGCACCTATGAGCCCGGCCGAGCTTACACCAGAGAACGAGCAGAGCGCAGATGCGTGATGGAGGAGCACGGATCTAGCCGTATCTCCTACATGTATCTATAGCTAGCTTGGCCGCGCAGCCACACCACCACCGGCCATGGCAGCCTGCAGCCATGGAGGAGCGAGGAGGATAAAGTAGAGGAAGAGGGTGTAGGCCCCCGTTGCTGCATTCGTCACCTCCGCGCGGGCAACCACCGAGAGCTCTAGCAGCAGTAGAGGATGGGATGGGAAGGAGGGAGCTAGTGGCGGTGTGGTCGGGGCCTCCGCCAGAGTCGCCCGCGGATGGGACGACGCGGGGGCCTTCGTGGGTACATCAAGGTTGTAGCACCATGTGGGTTGATGCCTATTTGCTTCTTGCCAACGTAGTGAACGAGTGACGTGTCCTAGGACACACCTGACAACAATGTTCGGCCTAGCAGACTACGTCCAACCATACTCGAAAGTTGAGTTAATACATTGCTTTCTGAAATAAGATGGGAACCGGTAACAATGATGTCAATAATAAGCAAACTCTGAGAAGCAATGAATAGGTTGTTTTAGACCGGGATTGGGGTATTTAAATAGATCACAAATAGTTTGAGGATGTAGATGTGAATCACATAATAGTTCGAGGACCACCCATGTAATTATCAGTTGTGGACGCACACGATCGAATCTATGCTAGAGGGTCATGTTCGCTAATTGACTATGTCATGTTTACTTTGGACCAGGATTGTGGGTACTTAAACACTTCATGGACCGAAATATGCAAATTTTTGGTTTGACAACATATATAAGAATAGCATAATAGTCTGGGAGCTACCGGTATAATTTACTCTTATTTGTGCAATGGAGCAGACAAATATCTTTGTGGACCCTACAACCAGTTAAAATATAGTGAAAAGAAAAATATTGGGGGATTGAGTCTTGAATACAAAGGAGCTATATAACTCGTAACTTAGTATAATAAATAGAATGAAGTCACAAATGTTAAGAAAACAAAGGCAATAATTGCATAGTAACTTATATTGGAGTAAAAAGGTTTAAGAGATCTTTAAACAAGCAAGTATGCTAAATTTCTATTCCTAAAAACTTTCAAAATCAACGAGTTCTTGGATTAGCACCTAACATACAGTTGTTTTAAGTACCTAACGTAACCTGTTGTAGAGGTGGAACCACCAGCACCCATATATATAGTCAAGTGGAGAAAAGTAAGGAGTCAGCATTGGCGCCTGGAAACTGCTGGAAGCCTGTGGACCGAGAACGTACCTATGAGTGGGACGATATTCCTGTGTCGAAGACGATTGATGACGGCGACCTCGGCCAGGAAGTCGTCGTAGCTGCTGTTCTCCTTCCGCGTGAACATCTTGACGGCGACCTCGACGTACTGAAGCCGCTGGCGGCCGTCGTCTCCGTCGCAGGTGGCAATCATGGCACCCTTGTACACGGCACCGAAGCCTCCACTGCCGAGCCTCATGCTCTCGTGGAAGTTCCTGGTGGCCTTCTTGACGGCGGCATACCCGAACTCCCGGGGTATTCCGGGTAGCCTCCGCATCGCCTTGGAAAGCTTCAGCTTCATCGTGAGAGCCCTGTACCTTGACACTAAGCACCAAGCGCCCAAAAAAACAATAGCTGCAGCAGGTGCCGCCACCAGAACCAAATAAAAAAACACTCTTGCCATACGACGGCGGCGGTGGTCATATGTGATCGACGCGGAGCTGGATATGTACCAGAGCCTGTCCACCGTCAGGTTCCAGCTATACACCACGGGCTGGCATGACGGCAATAACCTGTTCTTGGAGGCGAATAAACCAAACTTGGAACTACCGTCTGGGGAGCCGTTGTGCCACCCCCACCGCCTACTCCTGACGACCCCACTGACGACGGCGATGATGCTGAGGGGGGAATGAAGCGTGGCTTGTCCTGGTCCTGGTTTTGCTTTCCCTTCGTCGTCGACATAAACTGAAAGGTTGTGCCTCTTGGCGTCGTAATCAATCCACACCGTGTAGTTCGCCGGCGTCGAGTCTGGCGTCGTCGGGGCCGGTGGCACGATGGAGACATACAGACCGAACAGCCCCTGATGGTAATAGTACTCCAGCTTGCCGATCTCAACGGAGATGTTGCTGCCGCTTGCCGTGGTAGACAAGGGGAAGTAAATGGCCCTGTCAAGGCCGTCCCAATGGCGTTCGTCGTCGGGCTGGGGCAGCACCTCAAATAGAAGGCCGCCGTCGTCAGCCTTGTAGCCGTGCGGCCGGCTGATGCTCATGGTGAAGATAGTGTTGAAGGACGCCTCCTGCGACGACGCCGACCATAGCCGCCCGAAATCGTCGTAGTAGTCGAAGGGTTTCGATTCGAGAGCGAGTGGGATACCTTGTGAGAGGCTGACATGGCCGGCTGACCTCTTCGAGTCTGGAGAGTATACAACCGGCGGTTCATAGACACCGTCGGCGGTGAGGTGGAGAGCACGGCCGAGTACACCGGCATCCCAGGAGAACATAAGCTCGCTCCCGTCGTACTGCGGACCCTCCGTCGACGGGAAGCTGAAGCCGATGACATCGCCGCCCCGGTCGAGGGAGCTACTGCAAGACGCCGGAGAGATTGCGGCCACCAAGCAGTGGATTATTGCTACCAGGATGCGACTCGTCAAGCCTAGAGGGGCAGACATCGTGGTCGTGGGTGATGGCAGGCAGCTGCAAAAAAACAATCTCGCAACTATATACTCCAGCACCTGTCATCCAGCATCTCTGAATGATGGCCCAGCAATTGCCACGTATCCCACAGGTGTTGACCACTTCCGGCAGCTTTCCTCGTTGCTCGAGATCCAGCTCTTCTACGGCTCACTCCCCTCCTCGCACTCCGTCTTCGTACTCCCACGGTCTACGCCGCCGCCACAGCAGCTGCGGCTGACATAGTGAGTTATAATGGAATAAAAAGGTTTAAGAGATCTTTAAACAGGCAAGTATGATAAATTTCCATTCCTAGAAACTTTTAAAATCAACGAGTTGTTGGATTAGCACCTAACATAATTCTTTTTAAGTTAGGAACTACCATAACATGCTGTAGAGTCAGCACAGTCCAAGTGCAGAAAAAGTCAGAGTCAGCATTGGCGCGCCTATATCGAATTGGTGGAAGCGTGTGGACCCAGGACGTACCTATGAGTGGAACTATATTCTGTGCCACTTAGATTGTAAATAAAAAAAAAAAGGGCCATCATGGGTGCACTGCCTGGTATGTAAATAGGTAGCAAGTGTTTGATTTATTCTACCACCAGATCGTAAAAAGAGTTAAATGCACCAATGACTCTCAAACTTTTAAGGGTGAAAAGAGTTAAATGCACCAACGACTCTCAAACTTTTAAGGGTGTGTCACTTAGGTCCACAAACTTTGAAAATACATTTCTGAATCGCTAAACGTGTCAAATGGTGCATCGCAGGTTCATGCCAGCCACGTATGCGTCCTAAAAGGATCAAGATGTCCAAGAGATGGGTGAATTTGAGAGATTCAAGGAAGAAAAGGAAAAAAAATTGAACAAGAATTGCATCAAAATGAAGTGACCTTTTTTGAGATTGAAGTTCTAGATCAGGAATGGCAGCATGAAGATGGTGAGGATGCATGCTAAAAAACAAAGAAAATGATGAGAATTCAAACAAGAAGTTATAAAAGGTGAAGAAAATAACAGAAAACTAGAATTGGGGATCCAGAGAGATGAGAGCACGTGACGGCTCAAGGAGACCGAACAGAGGTCGTAGCAGGAACAAGAAAGAAGAGAGCTTGTGACTGCAGAGAGAGGTAAATAATGGTGAGGAGGGAAGCCTAGAGGCTGGAATATGACACAGGAGAAGAAGGGAGCGGCGAGGGCAGAGGTAGACCTATTGTGGGGGTTGTCACTCCAACACGAGGCCCCCAGGAAAATGCCATCCGCATCTTCTCTTTAGGATCTTTGTATCGGTCGAGTGACACAAAACACCCCAAATGGCAAGCCAACATATAACACGCAACATTGTACCAAGGGACTTAAATTGATTAAAGTAATTCACTAAGTTTATTGATATACAAAAATAAGAGGTTACAAGTGTACAAGATTATATGCTTCACTCTCTACGGTTCGACTCTTCGAAAATTCTCTCAGATCTTATCGGAGTTTAACATGCAGCTCATCTTGGAATTGCCCGTTCCAAGGTCCACTGGTCATCGATAGAGTGAGCATTGGCTCAAGACAACCTAATCAAGATACCTGCAAAACAACTTAACGGCAGCACCATGAGTATATTTTGTAATCGCAGGACTTAATTCCAACATATAAATATTTGGAGGATGCAAGGACATTATCAGGCATTTGTACATTTGCAGAAAAGCAATGGCGTTTCTTAAAGATGACATGCTCATAAACCAACATTAACATGGTTGTTAAATTTATGTCAAGTAGTAAGGAGTGACATAATAAAGTGATCAACATTTATATTTCATCTCATAATCAAGTTTCATTATCAACACTACCATGGGTATAGAAAGTAGGAACAACCAGAAGTGTCCGTCCTGAGGGACTTCAGGCTTTCAAAACTCTGCAAAGGTGTACAACTGTATCCACACGGAAGAACCGGACTAACCACCATACCTGTGCGTGAGGGTAAGGGTTGCCTCACATCTCCAACCTTTCCCTAATCCGGTCCGAATGTCTCATGAAAGGTTGACTTGTTCCCGGTTAATGCTACCACCATCTAACCGGCGCCATTTTCTTGCCAGTCTCATGGATAGACCAGTCACGATCAGTTACTCGGCTTGCCGCCCCCATATGCGGCATGTGGTCTGTACGGGTGGTTACTTGGACTCACGTATCCCAATGCACGGTTCTTAACTGCTCTGCGAGCTACATCACTTGAGATCCCACACTCACAGTGACCTACCCCTCGCATGAGCAAGAATTACCAAGTTGATCATCAAGTTCATATTTCAACTTGAGGTGAGTCCTTAGTCATGGTTAGGAAAGTAGATAAGTTGTATCCCTCATCTATTTTAGTGATTAGTTATCCTGATGTAGTATCCTACATGCGCAAGCATGAGTTTCCTTCTCATACTCGACTTCTAACGTTACTAAGCAAGCAAGCAATGAAGCGTTCCAAACCCTATTAATTAAATGAAGGCTCTAATTAATTAATGAGTTGTTCTAATTTAATGAAGCAACATTAATTTGTTAATCATATCTATATGAAATGCATAACTCATAATGAAACAAGATAAGTATCCACAATAGGGTTTATAATAGCGGGGTGCCTGCCTGGTTATGCCGTTCGAACAAATTTGAAGCTGACGATGATGACTTCTATGCGTTCCTCACGCTACACGATTCCCTAAAAGAAAAGGAGATCGAGATTGAAAATAATCGATAAGGAGGTAAAGATTGAGACTTGATTTGGAACTTGAGAAGAGATGCCTAACAGGGCTCCCTAAACAATCTCACACTTTCTATTAACTGACGGACTCTCCGCTATATGTGGCGGACTCTCCATCGGGTTGGACTTCGAGGTGACTTGGTTCTGGTTTGACTCTGTTAGGGTTGGTGGACTCTCCATCGGTGGTGACGGACACTCCGCGATCTGACGGACGCTCCGAAGAACACTCCGGTGGTTTAGGACTTAGGCATTTCTAGGGTTTACATCCATCATCGGACGATCTGAACCATGTGATGGATGCTCTGGTGAAAACGGGGAGGTCTTAGTTTATGGCTAGGTTTATAATTCAGTAGACCCTCCGTGAGGGATCACAGACTCTTCGCTGGAGACATGGTGCTCTCGGGTACTTCAGTTTCTCAATCTATAAATTGGCGGACACTCCGCTTGATATGGTAGACTCTCCGCTGACTCACTCCGAAGGAGTATAAGGCTCTGTTGGGTGGCTTTCTGGATCTGGCGGACACTCCATCGCATCTGATGGACGCTCCCCTGAACGGTGTCGATAGAACCTATGTTCATAGCTTTTCATGGGTTATCTTGGGTTTCAAGCCTAGATGTGTGGTGCTGTGATCTATGCATTTGCAAGACATCCTTAGGGTAGTTTAGGTGATTCACTAGGCTCAAGATAGCTAGATTTTGAGCTAGATTTGCTAAGTGTAACTTTGGGATTGGGATTAAACAAAAAACATGAGAAAATAGAGATAATTCATGAGATTGAGGTGAAATCCTTAGCTCTGGGATTTGAGTGCTTCTATAGCCAAAAACTCGAAGATCCAACTTCTTTCTATCCAAGTTTCTTCATCCAAAGAGAGATTTGCTCTTTATGGGCTTCTCCTTGCAATCATTCCAAAGAGATGAATCAAATGACAATCCATAGGATAGTTGGATGATTGAGCTAGGTGAGTGTCGATGTTTCACCACCGATAGCCTGCCACGGGGGTACCCGGGGCAGTATTGTTCGGGCTTCAGCGTATGCAGAACTCGACGGTTAACGCAAGAGACAGTCGATTTATCCTGGTTCGGACCCTCAATTATGATCGAGTAATAGCCCTACGTCCAGTCGGCGTTAGCCTTGCGTTAGATTGATCGTAAAGTGTTGTATTGTTGTACAATTGTTCTTCTCAAAACCTCCCGATCTAAGGAGCCCTGCCCTCCTTTATATAGCCAGGAGGTCAGAGTCCTAGTCGGTTTACAATGTAGAGTCCTAGTAGGATTACAGGATAGTATTACTACTAGGATTACATGGGAAGAATCCTAGTTAGACTAGATCTTCTTCCTTCCTTGCAGGGTATCCTGTGGGTCCCGCATCGACAAGCCCCCGAGCACTTCATGGTTGAACTCTGGAAGCCTCGTCTTGTTCCTCTTGTCGAGTAGGAACAAGGGTCGTCCGAGTGCTTTCTTGAGTGAAACCATGTAGCGCTTCTTTGGATCTTCGAGTGGTGTGTGCTTTTTGAAAAAGGTACATCCATATGGGTGTAGCCCTCGAGCCTCTTGCTATTTGGAACAAGGAGCTAGAGGATCTTGTCTTGAAATTGCTTTGTTTCTTCGTTGAAGGTCAAAAAGAACTCAGATATGGCTCGGTCCGGGTTCTTTTTGTCGTAAGGTCTTGAAGTGGTCTGTCTTGAAGAAGTCTTCTTGGTGACGTGCGCTTTTTCGAAGAAAAAAGTGCACTCACTGAGTGTAGCCCCCGAGCCTCTTTCTATTTGGAACAAAAAGTTGGAGGGTCTTGAATCTTATGTTGTTTGAAAACTCTTGTCTTGAAGAAGTCTTCTAAGTGATGTGCGCTTTTTTGAAGAAAAAGTGCACTCACTGAGTGTAGCCCCCGAGCCTCTTGCTATTTGGAACAAAGAGTTGGAGGGTCTTGAATCTTATGTTGTTTGAAAACTCCTATCTTGAAGAAGTCTTCTGAGTGATGTGCGTTTTTTTGAAGAAAAAACGCACTCACTGAGTGTAGCCCCTGAGCCTCTTGCTATTTGGAACAAAGAGTTGGAGGGTCTTGAATCTTATGTTGTTTGAAAACTCCTGTCTTAAAGAAGTCTTCTGAGTGATGTGCGCTTTTTTGAAGAAAAAACGCACTCACTGAGTGTAGCCCCCGAGCCTCTTGCTACTTGGAACAAAAAGTTAGAGGGTCTTGAATCTGAGTTGTTCAAGGAAGTGAGAAACTCTCCTGTTGCAGCCCCCAAGCATACATCCGGGTTCTTTTATTCAAAAAAGA